GAAAATTTTGTAAAAGGAAAAACGTCAAATTAACGACATTTGTTTAACCACAGCCTTCGCAATTAATAAACGCATTTGTTTATTGCATTGAACCAATAGAAGAAAACAAAACTACCCTAACTCAATATTTTACTAAATCTTTAAATTAATTAAGAATTAAATAATAGTAAATTAAATCTAAATGAAAACGGGTCGTCCAATTAAAACGCGCATTGTTTGTTTGTTGTTGTGTCAGGAGTGGTAGAATGATGAGGGTCGCATGTTTTGTGAAATATTTACGAAACATTATGCAGCGAAACTTCCAGAAAGAAAGAAAGAAAAAAATTAACGTTTCTCTTCTCTAGACGTTCTCGTGTTCGCTTTTCGAGCGCGCTTAAGGTCACCCGCTCAACCCGAGCCTGACAAATGCCTTCTTCTTCGTTAACGAGCCTCCAAAACACCTGCGGAATTGAGAAAGGTTTTACTTCATCTTGGGGGGTGAAATTCATCCCGTTACCTTTTGCATTTCACCCACTATTTTTTGTTTTGTTTTTATTTGGGATCAAAAAGAAACAACAGTTTAGCGGTCGTCCGGGCGACCATAAACATCCCTCCGTGCTCTTCCCTTGATTAAAAACGAAGCGTTATCCGGGTGCGCCATCTACTGCGCGTTCCTCACGCTAATCGCCGTCCGCATGCGACGAATTTGAATTAATTTCATTTAGGTTTTTTTTTCTTAAAGCAATTAAACAACACGCATTAAACGATACTTAAATCATTTCCACGTTAAATGTCAATCTTGACACATGAACTTTGACATCAATGTCAAATTTGACAAGTGTCAACGCAATCAATTTATTGGTTAGATTAGTGATTTTAAATTTGTAAAGTTCACCTTTTTAGGAGATTCGTTAACGTTTACGGCGTAATCCTTGAGTTTACCGTGGAGGCGACGCTCTTAATCTCAACTTGATGAACTCAATTAATTAGCGAGAGCGCATTTCGTTATAAAACTAGTCTGAAAACCTATTACTAAATTCAAAGTTAACGTGTAATTACGTTGATGCAAACACGAATTATTTAATTGTTATTAGCGACATCTGCTTCGTAATTGAAACATTACAATAAGAAACTTTTCTCCAGTATTGTTATGTACGTTTCTATGGCTACAATAGTTTTTCAACCCTCGCTAACAACAGTAACAAAACAAAAAACATGGTCGTCGTCAACATCAACTGTTTCGTTGACGTTTGACGAGGGAAACAAAATGCAAACCGAAGCCAATTAGGATCGCGACGGGGGGGTCGGTGAGATTTTGAGCTTTTAATTGGAAAACTATTCGTTTCCTGTTTTCGTGTGTCGCAAACCAAAAACAAAACACGCAGCGTACAAAAAAAAAATGAATGTACAAAACAATTAGCGCGTCGCTTTGATCACTTGATCTGAGTTTCGAGTAGTTTCGTCAATAAATGAAGAGAGAGTTTCGTCCATTTTATTAGTTTGCTCTGTTCTTTAGTGAGTGAGTATAATGAGAAATGTTGGAACGTCGAGTGGGCGTTGTTTTTGTATTCGGATTACACGATTTTATTGGTGGAATAGTGAGAACAAAAGAAAAACAAACAAGTGCGAGCGCCGCCGTAATTACATAGTCGTCGCAGTAGTCCGGGTATTTCGAGCTGTCAGAAGAGTTTATTATTAACTGTTACAGTTTTATCTTTATCGTGATAATGCAGGGATACAAAGCTAATCCCGAAGATCGTCCTCGTCCTTGTTTTATTTGTTTTCAATATCATCAATGTATCCCCAAGACACGAAATTTAATCAGAATCACGAAGGAAAAGTTCGGGCGGACGCGCCGGGCAACAGATGCTCGCATCGTTACTCTTTTTTTTCTTTACACGACCTTCTTTTGTTTTTCGTTTGTTTTCTTTCTCATTTGTTTAATGAAAACGACCGTTGGTTTTGCACCTTTAACGACCCATAAATTCACTCTCCAACCTGATTTTTACAACATTCCTCCCATTCAATTAGACGTTGCCGATTCGTGTTTATTATCAAAGGATTATCAATCAATTTTGAATTGTATTAGGTCGTAACTTTTACTTTATCGTGTTTAATTTTTTTCTTATTTTGTTGCAGTTATTATTAGTGTCTGCTGGTTCGCCGGAACCGTCGTCGGTTTTCTTCCGTTGATGGGTTGGCACAAGGGACCCGCCGAAAACGGAAGATGCTTCTTCCTCGGCGTGATGGAGTACGATTATCTGGTTTTCCTCTACGTCGGTACGATAATCACGCCGGCCTTGCTTCTGCTCGTCTTCTACGCGCACATCTACCACGTGGTGTTGAGACAGGTACGGTGTAATCAATGTCATATTAGTAAAGATTATCAATGTCATATTAGTAAACATTGTCAATGTCATATTAGTAAACATTGTCAATGTCATGTTAGTAAACTTTGTCAATGTCAAATGTAGTAAACGTCAAATATTGAGGGTTAAAGATATGATCTAATGTGAAAGATTTAGAAGGGAAGAATTTTGGATATTTATATAGTGATTAAATTAATTAGAAATTAAGAATTTATCAACTTTCTTGATTGTAATTTGGTGGATGCGCCGGGTCGTATATCATATTTAATCATTTGACATCTGTCAAATTCTGACATGTGTCTAATTTTTATTTTTTTTTGTAGTTGAAGAGGATTGTGACAATAGATCCGGGTAGCGGTTCCAAGGGTCGTTCTTCCGGTGGTACGATGTTGCGGATGCTGGGTGCGGCGCAGAAGCGCGAGGTGAAGGCAACCCAGAATCTGTCCATCATCGTGCTGTTCTTCATGATCTGCTGGATCCCCCTGTACACGATCAACTGCACCCTGGCTTTCTGCAAAGATTGCAAAGTGAACTCGACGCTGATGCTGCTCAGCATCATCCTCTCGCATCTGAACTCCGCCGGCAATCCTCTGCTCTACGCTTATCATCTGCGCGATTTTCGAGCCGCCCTCAAATCGTTCATCTGCGGCCTCTTCGGCATCGGAGTATCGGCGCCGCCCGCCACCGCCAACAACAACAACTTCTCGCATTACCGTCTGCAGAGCTTGAGGGAGGCGGGAAGCAATATGTCCTTATCGAGGAATCGTCTGATCGCGGAGAAGAGGTCACCGCTGCCGCCGCCACCGACGCCGCCTCCTTCTAAATTGTCGGCTCTGATGAACAATTCTGTGGCGGCGTTGGCTGCGGCCGCTTCCGACGGGGCCAGAGACATCTGGCGGATAAGCGAGATATCGGAAGGGGACAACAGGTGCAGCAGCGTGATCAATCGCGTCGACGAGGAGGACATCGACGAGGACGGTGAGGACGACGTGTTCTTGGACGTGGAGCCGAGACCGCCGGAGGAGAATCTCATCATACCGTCGGTCACCGTGCAGAGGATGAACAATCTGTCGACGTCGTCGCCGCAGCTCTCGAGGAATCTCTTCCTCGTCGAAACCGAGATGAACGAGTGCCGATGTCGACCGGCCTTCATGCGCAGCGTCAGCAACGACAACAGAGAGGCCAGTCTGATCGTCACCGGCGATTTCATACACAGTCCCGCCAAAAGCTTGAAGCTGAGCCCTTTCAAAGTCGTTGGGGAACTGCTGAAGACGGGAAAACATCCGAGGAGTTGCAGCCTCAGCGACGATCCGGACAACTCGAGACCGAAGAACGGATACATCCCAGAGAATCATTCCTCCGGGTACTGACTCTACTCAACACTCACTCATCCATTACAATCGTACAACAAGTGTTCTAAACTAGTCATCCAGATCATATCAAAGTAAAGACAAACAACGCGATACTCCCCAAGTACTTGACAAGTATCACGTAATTATGTTTACTCATACAATCCTACACGCTTCACTCTTCCGATCCCTCCTGACCCCAAAGAATTAACGTTGCGCGACTGAAACTTTTATCTAGTGAACTAATTGTTACCATTAAGATTAATAATAATATAAATATATTTTACTACCTTCAGATACAAAAAAAGCAAACAAGAGCATCACATTTTTATCCACATATTCTTCTCTCTCTATCTCTGATATTTTTGCTAATTATACATAGATGTACAGACAAGAAATTATATTGTAATAATTATTATTATACATCAGCTGTATTATTATTAAGAATAAAATAATTATTTGTTGTATTTCATATTGAAAATTTATTTCATTTTTTAACACCTCGCAGCAGACGAGTCAATGATAGTACAGCATTATCAGAGACCTCGTTGGAAAGGTGAGACTTTCAGCTTTCATGCTTTCAGTCTTTGATGTAGTTGTCATAAAGGATTGTGGAGAAAATCACTGAAAACTGAAAACACTGAAAAATAATTTCTACAGCTTATAGCAGGCGACTTGATAATAGTACCAAGCTGTATGTAGGCTCGTTGGAAAGGTGAGACTTTCAGCTTTCATGCGAGTGGTCGTTGATGTAGTTGTCTTAAGGGATTGTCCAGAAATTTACTGAAAACACTGAAAAATAATTTCTACAGCTTATAGCAGGCGACTCGATAACAGTACCAAGCTGTAAGTAGGCTCGTTGGAAAGGTGAGACTTTCAACTTTAATTTATATATTCGATGATTAAATTGTGTTCTTCTGTTGTTGACTAATTCAAGAAAACGTGATGACATAATAAAGTCGAATAAAATTATAAGATAGGCAACCAACTATACATCTCGTAATTATTATTCCTTTAAATTGTATATTGATTAGATTATATTTGGTTACTATGATTGATTGTTATTATATTAATATGAATTACACTAATATAATCATGTTTTAAAGTTTTCTCTGAAACAAATTATTCGCAGTTGGTAGGATTGTTTTTGAAGGAATTTTCCTTTTTTGACAGCTTCTGTGGCTGCGCTGCGCGTTTCGTGTTGATTTTGTATTTTTCTCAGTTTCCACTCAAGTATTTGCAGATTTCTAAGTGAAAACCATGGCGGAGGCAATGAAACAATCCGTGGCTACAATGCTGAAAGGGATCGAAAGGTAATTTGATCGGAAAAAAGTGCATCTTCGCATAACTTAACCTCACAAATCTTTTGTTTCATTACCATACTTACTAATGTGTTTTGTTTTAGATACAACCCTGATAATTTGTCCACTCTGGAGAGGTACGTGGTGACGCAGGCGAGGGAGAACGCCTACGATCTGGAGGCGAACCTCGCAGTTCTCAAGCTGTACCAGTTCAACCCGCACCTGTTCAACATCGAGATTACCAGCCAGATCCTGCTGAAAGCTCTGACCAACTTCCCGCACACAGACTTCATCCTGTGCAAATGTTTATTGACTGAGCAGAGAGTAAGTTCTTTTTTGTTTTCTATTAAATTCTTATTTAACGACACTAATCAACTTGTTTATTATGAAATGACTTGAATTAATCCATAGCTTGCTTTGGTAAACAATTTATCTAATTGTTTTGTTTTTTTTTTAGCTGTCTGAAGAACCGATCAGCCAGATCATGTTTTTGGCGCACATCCTCGAACAGTGCGATTTCCAAATCTTCTGGAAACGTATCGAGACGATGCCGGACATGACCTCGCGCATCACCGGTTTCCTCGATTCCATCAGGAAGTTCGTCTGCCACGTCGTCGGCATCACTTACCAGACGATCGACCGTACCCATCTGAGCCAACTTCTTGGAGACATCAACGACAGCACCATGAAACACTGGATCAAGAAGTACGGTTGGAGGGAGGATGGTAACTTAGTCTTCATCTCTAACCAGGAGGAGAACATCAAGACCAAGAACATCAACGAGAAGATTGAGTTCGATCATGTCGCTGCGATCATGAAATCTTGTCGTTAATGTATAAGTAAAATAATAATACATTTTTTTTCACTTTCACTTTTATTTTGCATTGACAATCAAATCCTTACAACAATTGCTTACTAACCATCACAAACATAACAAATGTATTCAGATTTGTTTATCCTTTTAATTAATCAGCAGATTCTATTGCAAAAGTTGTTTAATAAACAACAGAGTTTTTAAATAAAGATAATGTAGGTGATATAAGAAATGGTCAGTACGAGTTAAAACGTAACACACAGAGATGGCACTGCTATTTATGAAAAAAAATCAATATTGCAACTATAGTATAGGCAACCCAATATATATTAGAGTATGTCAGCTGCAGAAATTGGAAGAAAAAATTATTATTATTGCATAATCAGATGCACGCAACTTTTTATGTAACAAAAGTTACGTAATGTTCATTACATAACAGAAAAACGACGTTTTTTCGTTTTTTTTTTCAGTTTTTCGTGAATTTCTCGACAACCCCTCAAGATAATTACATCATCGATCACTCGTATGAAAGTTGAATGTCTCACCTTTCGAACGAGCCTGCTGGCATCTTCGTACTGCCGCCGAGTCGCCTGCTATGAGCTGTAGAAATTG